GAGGTGTCAACTCCTCTATCACAATCAGAACAAAGCAAACAAAGCCAGAAAAATATACAAGGAACAGAAATGTGAATATCTGTGGTTGAAAGGTTTGCATCGTTAGATTAGTGTCAGTCCAAACATGTATTAATTGAAGTTTGTAATTTAAATCTCGGAATGTACGTAATTGTAAAACTTTGATCATGAGGCTGTCGTGTTGCGCGAACGTTATATTCCCGTAATTACGTAAAACCATTAAACGCCAACATAGACGCGTGGAAACAATTATTTTCCAATCAATATTTTGTTTCCAATTTCAGAAAATAAATACGTAGAGGGGATCGTATTCAACATAATTGAAATGTCAATTTAGTGTTGTGCATGTTTAATTTCAAAACTCACGAAATGAACGTTATCTCAGCTAGTGTTGATGTCTGTTTGCAAATTAAGATTGATTGATATAGGCACCAGATCTAAGTGTCAATAACACTGATCCGCTGTCTGCTTGGAAATGAGATCGGTAGTGTAAACTGCTTCAGTAAACACAGTTGACCATCGTATACACACAGACACTCCTCAGTAACATCCCAAGACAGACGTGGGTCAGGGAAATAGGAAAAGCAGGAATGGAGTAGAAACGACTGAAGAGAAATCGGACGCTTGTATACACACACTAGCCATGGCAGACAAGAAGACCAAAGGAAGAATTTTTAAAATTGTTCTCGCAATCTGTTGATGTATAAGTAAACAGCTGAGATCCAAGCCAGAGAATAATCGATGATTATTTGATTGATTGATTATTTATTGTTTAACGCCGCACGCAGCAATATTCCAGATATATGGCGGCGGTCTGTAAATAATTAAGTCTGGATCAGACAGTCCAGTGATCAACATCATGAGCATCGATCTGCGCAATTCGTCGAAACATTTCCATTGGGCTTAAAACGCAAAAGAGTTTGGTTAATTGGTTTAACTCAGAGCGACATTAACGTTTCATGAGGTAAAATATCCGGCTCTTTGGTGTAAGCTTTTAAAGGTACAGATTGTCCTTAGTTTATGAAAGAATTAACCTAGTTGTCAACAAATGATGAGTCCTTGTGTCAGATTTCAGGCCAGTCTGGTTGATGCGTCTCAGTAGTCTGACGATGGTCTGCACTCTACAGTCGTATGTTCTGGCAAGATGGCTGTTCTGGACTGTCCTCGTTCTGCTGCTGATAATCTTGGCATGTCCGTGGTCTTTAACAGGGATACCACTAACAATGTCAGTCGACTGTGTTTTATACTGTTGGTGCATAACATGCGATCGCAATTTAACAAAATCATGAATTTCATGATTTTCCACGCTCAGCACTGTACTGTGGTGCTTTAGAAACATGTACACAGTGTTTGTTACTTGGAAATCGCAATCAAAGCACTTGTCAAAATATCTACTTTAGGTTTGTTTTGCATTGTGTTGTTGTTGTTTTTAAAAATAATCCCCAAGTACCAGTTTCTTTTCAAAAATTATCCCAAAGCACCAAATGTGTACTTTCTTTTAAACATCAGTTTATATTGAAATTAGAAGTGCAGTCATAGTCACGGGTAGTTAAATAACTGTTATATTTCTCAGTGTGATGCTGGTCAATGATTGATAATAATTCTCTCGTACAGGAAAAGAAAGTATGTATGAAATTTTATTCATTTTATTGAAACACCTTTATTGAATTTCAAGTGTTAAGATCCTGAACGCAGGGGCGCGAGGCAAAGAGCGCGATTAATTAGGCCTGTTAGGTTCATGTGGGGTGTAATTTAATCTTCACGGCGTATGTTCCATTGGAACCGACTAAGAACGATCGGATGGTTATAATTACAATGTGACCCCCATCAACCATCTGTTTCCGGGTGGTTGGCCAGCCTATGGTAAAATCAATGCTTCGCAAAACCTGAGAGCCAGGTTTAGTTCACCACATGGATACAAACCAATTGGCCTGAAGGCCTCTCCTGGTGTCCCCTGCTATGATATGGCTTGAGTAAAGATAAACGTGGCGTTAACCTATTTTATGTTATTGATATGGATGGCCCAGACACAGTTATTTACAGTCCGACGCCATATTACTGTATATTGCCGACTGCGGCATTAAACAACAGTCATGCACACAACCACTCACTCTACGATCAATGCAATCTGACATCGTCCTCGAGGAATGGATAAACAATGGAGCATCGAATGACGAAATATTCCCTATCAAATACTTTCATCTCTCACTTGGCAAAGCAAATGATAGACATTTCCACAAAAATCTATTTTATTTCGTTTGTTAGTGCACGAACTGTTAATCTCAATGTCTAAGCACAGTTTTGTGGTACATCCTGACTGGCCCTTCATACACAAGAACATTCGGCACGGAGCGAGGACTGTTTATCTTCTCGTGGAGATGAAACCGACACACCCTGAAGGTTTATTACGATTATCTCCGAGACTATAAACTGCATGTAAACATGAATGATATAGCTGTCTTATCGTATTAAAGATAATCAGAAACATAAGCCCAATCGCTCGTCTTCAAGGGCCCGTTCAGATGGAACATGTTTGTGTATGACATGCTTACTGTATGTCTCGCTAATCTCCCATGATGTCATACACGGCTAACTGTTCATTCATATAGCCTCGTCCAGGGATGAAAGGTATCTATCTGGTACGAAACTCTCACAAATGTAACGAAATATTTGAAAAATGTCACTGGAAATATGCAGCAGTTGGCCATGGGTTAAAGATGATTGAGATATGATGTTAAAACACTGAGAATAGTATATTGGGAGGATTATCATAAAAAATATTGGAGAGATATCATGTTAACACACTTTGAAAAGGTCATGTTTATGATTGTTTGAAAGATTATATAATTCTAGGATCTTTGAAATGTTGCAATGAAGAACGGTTGAAGTGTTAAATTAAAGAAACACCTGAAAGGTAAAAGTGAAAAACATTGGGAGGTTTACATTCGAGAACATTTAAAAGGTGTATTAAGAATGTGTGAAACATTAAACATTAAGCTGTTAAAGAGTATTGATAGTGTTATGATAAAGCATAGAGCGATGACGAACACCTGGAAGATTATGTGTTGAGTACTGATGACATGTACGTTGTTACTGATGATAAAGCATAGAGCGATGACGAACACTTGGAAGATTATGTGTTGAGTACTGATGACATGTACGTTGTTACTGATGATAAAGCATAGAGCGATGACGAACACCTGGAAGATTATGTGTTGAGTACTGATGACATGTACGTTGTTACTGATGATAAAGCACAGAGCGATGACGAACACTTGGAAGATTATGTGTTGAGTACTGATGACATGTACGTTGTTACTGATGATAAAGCACAGAGCGATGACGAACACTTGGAAGATTATGTGTTGAGTACTGATGACATGTACGTTGTTACTGATGATAAAGCATAGAGCGATGACGAACACCTGGAAGATTATGTGTTGAGTACTGATGACATGTACGTTGTTACTGATGATAAAGCATAGAGCGATGACGAACACCTGGAAGATTATGTGTTGATTGATTACTGATGACATGTACGTTGTTACTGATGATAAAGCACTGAGCGAAAGATGACGAACACCTGGAAGATTATGTGTTGAGTACTGATGACATGTACGTTGTTACTGATGATAAAGCACAGAGCGATGACGAACACTTGGAAGATTATGTGTTGAGTACTGATGACATGTACGTTGTTACTGATGATAAAGCATAGAGCGATGACGAACACTTGGAAGATTATGTGTTGAGTACTGATGACATGTACGTTGTTACTGATGATAAAGCACAGAGCGATGACGAACACTTGGAAGATTATGTGTTGAGTACTGATGACATGTACGTTGTTACTGATGATAAAGCACAGAGCGATGACGAACACGTGGAAGATTATGTGTTGAGTACTGATGACATGTACGTTGTTACTGATGATAAAGCATAGAGCGATGACGAACACTTGGAAGATTATGTGTTGAGTACTGATGACATGTACGTTGTTACTGATGATAAAGCATAGAGCGATGACGAACACCTGGAAGATTATGTGTTGAGTACTGATGACATGTACGTTGTTACTGATGATAAAGCACAGAGCGATGACGAACACTTGGAAGATTATGTGTTGAGTACTGATGACATGTACGTTGTTACTGATGATAAAGCACAGAGCGATGACGAACACTTGGAAGATTATGTGTTGAGTACTGATGACATGTACGTTGTTACTGATGATAAAGCACAGAGCGATGACGAACACTTGGAAGATTATGTGTTGAGTACTGATGACATGTACGTTGTTACTGATGATAAAGCACAGAGCGATGACGAACACTTGGAAGATTATGTGTTGAGTACTGATGACATGTACGTTGTTACTGATGATAAAGCACAGAGCGATGACGAACACTTGGAAGATTATGTGTTGAGTACTGATGACATGTACGTTGTTACTGATGATAAAGCACAGAGCGATGACGAACACTTGGAGGATTATGTGTTGAGTACTGCATAGAGCGATGACGAACACTTGGAAGATTATGTGTTGTACTTGAGTACTGATGATGACATGTACGTTGTTACTGATGATACGTTGTTACAGAGATAAAGCATAGATGACGAACACTTGGAAGATTATGTGTTGAGTACTGATGACATGTACGTTGTTACTGATGATAAAGCACAGAGCGATGACGAACACTTGGAAGATTATGTGTTGAGTACTGATGACATGTACGTTGTTACTGATAATAAAGCACACAGAGCGATGACGAACACCTGGAAGATTATGTGTTGAGTACTGATCACATGTACGTTGTTACTGATGATAAAGCACAGAGCGATGACGAACACTTGGAAGATTATGTGTGTTGTTAGATACTGATGACATGTACTGTTGTTACTGATGATAAAGCACAGAGCGATGACGAACACTTGGAAGCGATGACGAACACTTGGAGGATTATGTGTTGAGTACTGATGACATGTACGTTGTTACTGATGATAAAGCACAGAGCGATGACGAACACTTGGAAGATTATGTGTTGAGTACTGATGACATGTACGTTGTTACTGATGATAAAGCACAGAGCGATGACGAACACTTGGAAGATTATGTGTTGAGTACTGATGACATGTACGTTGTTACTGATGATAAAGCACAGAGCGATGACGAACACTTAAAGCAGAAAGATGACGAACACTTGGAAGATTATGTGTTGAGTACTGATGACATGTACGTTGTTACTGATGATAAAGCACAGAGCGATGACGAACACTTGGAAGATTATGTGTTGAGTACTGATGACATGTACGTTGTTACTGAGGATAAAGCACAGAAAGATGACGAACACTTGGAAGATTATGTGTTGAGTACTGATGACATGTACGTTGTTACTGATGATAAAGCACAGAGCGATGACGAACACTTGGAGGATTATGTGTTGAGTACTGATGACATGTACGTTGTTACCGATGATAAAGTTTTGTAAATGAATATTACGGATATTGTTAATATGAATGAATATAAGTGTTCTATAAAACATAAATAAAGTAGATCGTACTTGATGTCTATTGCATTCCTTTGATGAGTGGTTTTGCCTCATATCAGCTTCAGATAGGAACAACCATTTCAAAATTATAAAATACTTTTTGTAGCAAATAATAAATAGAAATTTGCTAACAAAATACATATTTGTTCAATAGATGTTGTGTTCACCGTCTATCATCCAGTGTTGACTTCCATGCCCTGACGATAAACACTCTGGACCCATTTACCAACGTTGTCTCGTTCTGTTTCTTGTTTCTTGTTTAACGCCGCACTGGATGAGGTGTGTGCGTAGTGGTGGATCAGTACGTCCAGGTCCAGCTTGAGATTTGAACTGATGATTTGTTTGGTTGGGTTTGTTGTTTTACACCAGCTATATGGTGGCGGTATGTAAATAATCGAGGCTGGACCAGACAGTCCAGTGATCAACAGCATGAGCATTGATCTACGCAATTGGGATACGATGACATGTGCCAACCAAATCAGCGAGCTTGACGATCCCGTTAGTCGCCTCTTACGACAAGCATGGGTTACTGAAGATCAATTTAACCCGGATCTACACTGGCTGCTTCTTCTGAGTGCGGTTGGAAGGACACGACAAATACACTGTCATGATTATACACCTATATCACCGTACTATTGGTCGTCTCACCCAAAATGCCTTTCGCCCAAGCCCAGAACTTTCTTTGTGATAAGAGAATTAGAGCTGGTGACATCACTTCCGAGTGTTCCGAATGGCTCCAGGAATGTGGATAGCAGAAACTCGATGTGATACACTGGCTTACAAAGGGAGGTTAAAAATGACTGGTTCCACCTTTCAGTACAAACATTATTCTTGGAGCAGTGCTCGAAATAAGTACTCAGTTGTTAATTAAAACGGTGATGGGTCTCTAAATCAAAGGGACATTGAGTATTTAAAACCATGTACAGAATGATTACGTTTTATATTTTATTCAGTTTCTCCAAGTCGTAGAATCTCAGAAAAAGACAGAGCTCCCGACAGCGGCAGCTGGCAAATGGAATCGCACACCTGGCTACACACGATATGGAGTTAAATATTCTCAACGCTGCAAGAAGTTGTTTCATTGCGGATCCGGCTCAGTATGTTTACACCCAACAAGCTGTTTCGTATCGAGTAATTCGGGTTCAAGGTGACATGTAAAGATGGGAAACCTCGAGGGCATTATCAAAATATTTATCCATTGATGATAACGGGTTTTTGCCAGGCGATTGTAGCACGATGTACGGGCTTGCTTTCAACACGCGTTTATATACACGTCGTGTAAACGCTGCTGGGAACTCCAACACATCCGCCATTCAATTAGCGAAATGCATCTCGGACGTATTCACAGGCCATGTTTGTTGTACGTATAAAACTGGATAGCCTTTTCGAGTGTTGCGGCTTTGATTTCATGTAACAAAGATACAAATGGTGGAAAATTAAACTTTTTCACTTTTAATTTGATTCTAAAGTCCTTGTGAATCATGACATGGTAAAACACCTGGAACTTTTCTTCTTTTGGTATTAACGCCCAACGCCCAACCCGTAGGTTGGATACTCTAGAGGTGGAGTATATTCTTTTCTTTACTTAAGACGAAAGATGATGATTCCAGCAATTAGCTTAATAAAGGTGACACCAAGGGAATCGATATCATTTTCACCGCTATTTTGCCCTTTTCGCCCAGTAGATTCTGTCTCTCATTGGATAATCGAGACTGGTGGATCTCAAACGTTGACGTCATATGAACATTGGAGACGCATAGTGTAAACACTCGCTCATGCAAGCGTGGATACGGCCACACAAAATAATGAACAATCAGCTCCTGATGACTGAACGCGTAGATATATACACGTAACGAGTCGACAACAAAAACACAGTGGAAGACATGCACTGGAATCCCTCACTAAACAGCAGTTTTGAATGTGTGGAGTCGACGTGTCGCATTGACAAATACACGTATTCCGCGGCAATCCCATGTTGAGAGGAAATGGACTCGTCCGCTGCACGTGCAACACATGTTGTCCCCAAATAGTATGTTCGCGCTGACAGGACTTCAGTTCATTGTATGGCAACGTTGAATTTTGCCCACGGAAACTGCACACTCTTTCACCATTTTGACATTCCTCATAAAGTCAAGAATTTAAGGAACTTCTTTACTTTGATGGACACGACGTTTCGGAGTATTTTATGTACCAGATGAAGGAGTAAGAATGATGATTGTTGATGATGTTGATGATGATTTAATACCCGTAAAGGTCCGGGTTAGAATATTGGCCTTCACTAGTAACTCATGTTGTTGATAACTGGATTGTCTGGTCCAGACTCGATTATTTACAGACCACCGCCATATAGCTGGAATATTGCTGAGTGCGGCGTAAAACTAAACTCACTCACTCACTGATGATGATTTTAACGGGGGTGACCCATTTTGTTCTGGGGAGAGGGAATGTCCACAATTTTGTACACATGTACCAGGGGGGTCAGCAATTTTGTACATAAAAATATGAAAATGTTATGCTTAAAAATTAGGGGGGTGATTTTGTACGTGACATGCAGGGGGGGGGCACTTAAAATTAGGGAGGGGGTCATTCACATTATACATGCTTCTCCTTGAAAAATATCATCATCATCATCATCATCATCATCATCATGTCTCACTCTCTCTCTCTCTCTCTCACTCACTCACACACACACACACACACACACACACACACACACACACACACACACACACACACACACACACACACACACACACACCAGGCATAAATTATGAATGGTCCCTAATGTTTATCACTTCTAAATGCCGTTCAAAGACTTTTGACATTCCTCCTTTAAGTTCACAGCAGAAGTAATGTTGAAACTCCGAAGACGCTGAAACCGTACTGATTTCACGTGGTGTTTACCTGCAAAGTTTCCAAGTCCATAGGCATCGTCTGCTGGTGAATAAGACACATATCTGAAATATCCCACAGATTATTTTCAGGCAGGTATACTTTCACCCGTCCAAGTGCCATTGCGCCGACTGCCGGTATATATTCTTCTTCCATAACTTGATTCTGATTGTTTATGTAACCACGGGAGACAACACGAGGGGAAATCCGACAGCGTTGGAAAATACTTTCCTGCCCCGTCCATGAAAAACAAGACCCATGTGGCTCCAGGCACTGACAGGCGGTGCTGAAACATGCAAGTCCTGCTTGAAATATACACGGCGCCAAGTGACATCGATAACAATGTCACTCAAAACGGGAGCGTCAAACGCCCATGTCCAAATATTACATAAATCGATGGATTAAATATAACAGCTGCTGCCCGTGTGTATAAATATTTCAATGACTAAGCTTAATATATTTTTACCTGAATCTTGTTGATCGTGTTTTCAAAGGAGCTTTGACCAATACAAAGTACATGGATTCTTGTTTGTGGTATATTTAATGCTTATGCACCTATGTGTGTGCGCGCGCGTGTGTGTACGTGAGGGCATGTGTGTGAATATATCATTAATTAGATTATTCTATGGTTTGATGTGATCGGGTCGAAGTGACACTGACAATCAATAAGCTCCCAACAGTATCTCCTTTTTATACCTGCTTTCATTGCTACAATGATAATAGCCGTAAAGAACATGTCGATAATGCTAAATAAAGGAATAGACACGCCGCCATCTTGGCGTATGCAGCTGTCACAGCTGATAACGTGTCGCTTTTTGCGGCTTAAACATCGATACTAAAACAAAACTGGTCCTCATTCATGGAAATGCCTTCAAAGAAATACGCAACCAGATGATATTATTAAAAGAAAACCAAACGAGATAGACAGTTACAGATTCCACATGTGTCCTTCGAGATAAACCTGTCTCCGACAGATCTAACTAAAAAAAGGGAACCTATTTCAAATATAGATCGCGTTTGCTGAAATTCACACACTAATCGTAGGTCAACAAAATGGTGGAGTGACAGATATAACATGTTTGCTATGATATGCGTGTGGACCGGTGTGCAGATGATCAGCCTAATGGGGTTGTTTTCATCCACTTTAAGCAGATTAGCTACTGTCCTTATCAGATCTAGATATAGAGGGATTGATGTTGAAAGTAGGGACTACAACGGAGAAACAGCCTTGTTAAGAGGTATGGAAAACACATTTACTAACAATGATGAAATAGACATGTAACACATGATATGGACCATCCACACGTAGATGAAAATGACACGTATTACACGATTCGTATAGAATAAAAATATATGCTTTGGGACAAAGAAATAAACAAGGACGGAAGTAATAGGTACAAGAAAACACATACTATATGATAAACGCATAGATTATAAACGTACACTACATTATAAACAAATAACACGTTTCTACTGATTTGTGACAAGGTGAGGTACTGCAAGATTTGGAACCATCACGTACAACAAAACTGTGTGTTCGTATGTCTATGTGCGTTTATGTGTGTCTATATGTGTGTTTATGTGTGTCTATGTGCGTTTACGTGTGTCTATATGTGTGTTTATGTGTGTCTATGTGCGTTTATGTGTGTCTATGTCCGTTTATGTGTGTCTATGTGCGTTTATGTATGTCTATGTGCGTTTATGTGTGTCTGTGTGTGTTTATATGTGTCTATGTGCGTTTATGTGTGTCTATATGTGTGTTTATGTGTGTCTATGTGCGTTTATGTGTATCTATGTGCGTTTAAGTGTGTTAATGTGTGTCTATGTGCGTTTATGTGCGTCTATGTGTGTCTATGTGTGTTTATGTGTGTCTATGTGCGTTTATGTGTGTCTATGTGCGTTTATGTGTGTTAATGTGTGTCTATGTGCGTTTATGTGTATCTATGTGCGTTTAAGTGTGTTAATGTGTGTCTATGTGCGTTTATGTGCGTCTATGTGTGTCTATGTGTGTTTATGT